GGTTCACCACCCATTTATCCCTCCGCCTTTCAACCAGCACCACATGTGATTATTGGCCAGGCTGGCACAATTAACTAACTCACAGTCCAACCCTTAACTCACTGTACCATCATGGCTCCTGCTGGGAACAAAGCAGACAAAAATCCCTAATAGTGGATGCTGACAGCTAGTGGGAGGAGAAAGTGGAGAACAGGACATGATGGGGAAAAGTTAAGCAGGTCTGGGGGTGGGGGGCAAGAGGGGGAGTGCCCTCTGATGCAGTGCTATTGAGCCTGAGGGAGGGGAAAGGGGCAGCAGGAGCTGCAGGGACTCTGAGGTCCATGCTAGCCTCTGCTTCAGAAACAGCCTCCACCTGGCCAGAGGGGAGCACGCAGACAGCAAGTGGAGGGTCTGATGGCCAGAGCACAGCCAGCTCCGTGTCCAATGTGAGGGCCCAGAGAGACCGGAGCCTTGGAGAGTGCTGAGCAGGGGAGTAATGAGACCAAACATTGGGATCCAAAGGCCCCCCTGGGTGCTATGGAAGGGAAACCTGGGGTGGGAGACAAGGGCAGACGCTGGGAGCCCATTGAGACTGATGCCAGTGTCCAGTCAAGAGAAGGCCTAGGCCCGGGGGAGCAGTGGAGACTTTAGGAGAGACCGCACGCTGGCAGTGACAGGACGTGGGTGTCAGAGGTTGGAGACAAGAGCCCAGACTGGCGCTGGGGATTTCGGTCTGAGCAGCTGGGTGGATGGAGGGGCCTTTTGCTGGCAGAAGGGGCCATGGGGAGTCTCTGAGGGGCTCTGGGCGCTCAGTGGTCCTCAGTGCCATTCACTCCTCGCCCTCTCAGGCTCGCTGCTACAAGGGCCTGCAGACCCAGGGAAGAAGAGCTTTCACAGCCCTGCCTTCAGGAGCCCGCAGTTGAGGGTGATGAGGCAGTTGGTTAGGGGGGTGTTCTTCATTTGGGGCTCAGGGAAGATCCTATTGATCTGCAGGCACAGAGGTCATCCCCCTCCCCACTGTCAGGCCAACTGCCCAGAAGCCACAGCAGTTGCTGGTGAGCAGCTGCCCAGCCTCCAGGTGGACTCTCGACACACATCCTCACTGGGTAGCTGCAGGCCCCTCGGGGGTAGCTACACCTATTGCCCAATTCTACAGATGAGGAAGCTAAGACTCAGAGAGGACTGCGACTTCCCCAAAGCCACACAGCTGGGCAGTGTCCAAGCCAGGATAGCAGGGATCCTACACACCGACAGCTTCCCAAATGTCTGATGTGTGCCTTTCTCCCCAGGTCCCGGGCAACTTCCACGTGTCCACACACAGTGCCACTGCCCAGCCACAGAACCCAGACATGACGCATGTCATCCACAAGCTCTCCTTCGGGGACACGTTGCAGGTGAGCAGGGAACACACTGGACGGGGGCTTTGGAGGGGGGGAGCCTTAAAGGGCAGTGTCCCAGTGCCTTCTGGCCCCGCTGGGCCCAGGGTGAGTCTTCAGGAGGGGACACTTGCTGCTCAGCTCTATCACACAACTACGCTGGCACTGCCTTCGAGGGCAGGAGCTGCACTTCATCAGGCACCAGCCTCGGAGCCTGGGCTGAGCCCTGTGGCCCAGGGACAGGGACTTACAGTGAATGAGCAGGGACTAGCGGCCATCAGCTCTCACTGCAGCCTGGGGCACGGCGGAGTCGGGGGCTGGAGGAGCCACTCACCTAGGCCTCCCCAGCAGGTAGCCTGCTGAGCCGGGGTCCAGCCCATCGCCCTCCCTGCTCAGTGCTCAGGGCGGTGAAATAGGGAAAACACGGAGAGTGGAGGTCTCCCTCATCTTGTGTTGCTTTCCTGTTCACAAAGACACCCTGTGGCCTCAGCGGCGGCAGGGTCCTCCACAGCCCTGAGTGCACAGCAGAGCACCCAGCAGGGCTGCGGCTGCGCAGTGAGCAGACAGGTCGGGCGCTGATGCTGCCCCCTCCTCTCCAGCCATCCAAAGGTGGGCTTTTCTCACAGAGAGAATAAGGCTCACAGAGGCCTCCTTGCTGTGACCTGGCCCAGCTGGGATTGATCGGCCCCCGAGGTCCTGACCTCAAACCAGGCGTGATGCAATTCCTGATCCCTGGCTGAGGTGCTCAGCGGGGGCCCTCTCTCTGAATCTCACACATGTGCATGCACACACACAGGTACGTGACACGTTGCACATGCACGTGACACTGTTCACACATCTGCTCAGACCACATACACTCCAAGTTGTCTGTGTGTTCACCCTCACCCGCACATGCACACATTCAGGAATGCACTGAGGCACAGTCCCCACACCCACTCAGTCACGCTTACACACCCACCGCCCATTGAGGCATCGCACGCCTACCCATGCTGCTTAGGAAAGTGCACTCACGTGAGCCACGTGGCTCTACAGGACACCTGATGAGTGAGCCCCCTCCCTGGGCCAAGGACTGGCTCCACAGGCAGCCCAAGAGCCAGGTGCCATACTGCCCCATGTTCCAGAAGGGAAGATGGGGGCGCACAAGCCCGCCGCCCAGCTTGCTTGCTGCAGAGCGGGGATGTGAACCCGAACACTGCCTCCCGCCATACCCGCCTGAGTGTATGCCGCCCCGCACACACATCCTTCCTGTGCTTTTGGCCCTGGAGGGGCCTGGCCCCTGCCTTCCCGTCCCCCCTGGTGGCCCTGGAGGGTCACCTCATGGAGACTGGGCTTAGGAACGACAAGGCTAGACTCTGTGCATACTCACAGTGGGGTACAACCCACTCGGTCCCCAGACGCGCTCCCCGCAGACTGAGTCTCGGCATGGGTCACCACCCTGCCACCTTGTTGTTGGTTCTGTGGCGGTTGGGAGCCCGCATTCCTGGCTTGGCTTCATGGGTTTACAGCCTGGCCCCACCACTTACTGGTTGCATGGCCTCAGATACGGGATGCAACCCCCCTGGGCCTCCGTTATCCCACTATAAAATGGGGGCAATAGCAGTACCAGCTTCACAGGGCCGTCATGAGGGTGAAACCAGCAGTCCCCACAAAGCTCGTGGACCAGTGGCTGGCACAGAGCCTGTGGTCAAAGTCACGGTTGCCGTTGTGGAATGTCGTCTGGTCACCCCATGACAGCCCTGCAGGGTAAAGCCTGGTGCTTGGCCGCCAGGGACTCGCTGCAGCGGAGGTGAGAAAATGCAAGCAGGCCATGGGGGACATCAAGCATCGGGCAGCCCCCTTGCCACCTCTGTCCCCACCAGCTCACCACGCCCTCATATCAGCCTGGCACTGAGAACCCCTGGTCATGCAGCTCACTAGTGGCACAGCTGGAATCTGAGCTCTCTCTGCCCCTCACCACACCCTTCCCGCTCGGGGCTCTCACTGAGAGCGGCGTTGTGGGTGACGGACCTTCTTCCCCATCCTAGGGAACTGGCTCAGAACAGCTGGGTAACCTGAACTTGCCCGAGGCGACGCAGCGTGTAGAAACCCAGGTGTGTCTGGGCCCAGGTCACTCTTGACTGTGTGTCATACAGTAGTGTATTCTTCAGGTTCTCCAGAAGGATCTGCCCGGTGCCATGCCCGGGGCTTAGAGTGATGACTAAACAGTTTAAGTGAAGAAGACATCAGGTGTAAATAAACATGACACCACCACACTTCCTGGGTGGTGGAAAGGTTAATGTGCTCAGTTGTTAACCGAAAGGTGGAAAGTTCAAGTCCACACAGAAGAAAGGCCGGCTGGTCTACTTCTGAAAAAATCAACCCCTGAAAATGCCCCAGAGTACATACAGTTTTACTCTGATGCCCCCGGGGTGGGGGTGGGGGTGGGGCGTCACCATGAACTGGGGTCCACTTGGTGACAGCTGGTGGTAGTGGAAGAATGAGGGGCCTTATGGATCACTGAAGCATAGCATGTTGGGGTGGAGGGACACACACACATACCCATCCTGGGAGGCCAGGGAGTGCCCCCCCAGAGAAGGGGATGTCCAGTCAAGCTTTGTAGGATGGCAAGGATTTGACCAGGAGCAGGACAAAGGAATGGGTCCTCCACAGCAGGGCCTCTCCAAGGGCCCATTCTGTGATACAACCAACTGGTCATTTCCACACCTCAACATTACTTTCAGAAAAATGGATCTGCACACACCCATGACAGAGAGTGATGTTCAGTCTGTTAGTCTGGGTAGACTAGAGAAACAAATCCAGGGAGACTCGTGTGTAAGAGAGAACTTTATATCAAAGTAATTGTACATTAAGAAAACATCCCAGCCCAGTCCAGATCAAGTCCATAAGTCTGATATTAGCCCATATGTCCTATACCAATCTATAAAGTCCTCTTCAGACTCACACAACACATGCAATGACGCTGAATGCAGGAAGATCACAGGCTAGTGAGTGGAAAGTCTTGTGGATCCAGTGGCAGTGGAAGCATCTCAGCACAGGCAGGAGTTTCCACGTGGCTCCTACAACTCCAGGCCTCTAATGTCGCTCCATGTGTCTTGTCAACAGGAATGTCTCACAGGGAGAGAGAGTGTGTGTCCCACCTCCAAAGAGGAAGATAGGAGTTCCCAGAATCCTTGGGAGAAGGCCATGCCCACACAGAGGCCTCATTGGCTATGACCTGATTGACAGGCTAGACTCCACCCCTTCGCAAGTTGACCGGAGATTCTGTAACTGCCACACTCAGGCATGTCCACCTGCCAGGTGGAGGGAGAGCCAGGGCTTATGGGGAGCGAGGAACTATCACAGATTCAGGGTGGGAGAGCCTGGCTGCTACCTCTGGCCAGATGATGGAGAGCCACCTAAAGCAGGCTGAGGGGGAAGTGAAGAAGGGCTGCAGAGAGGGGAAACACCTGTCCTGCGGTGTGCAGGTGTACAGGGAGGGCAGTGGCCCTGTGCTTGGTCATTGGCGGTTACTGTTAGTTGCTGCTGGGTGGCCCCCAACTTATAGAGACCCTACACTGCCTGGTCCTGGGCCACCCAGTAATCAATTGCAAATCGGACTATTGTCAGCCATAGACTTTTCATCAGAAGTACACCACCAGGCCTTTCTTTCTAGTCTGGCTTTCCTTTAGTTCTTGGTGCTGGTGCCACCTTCTCCAGGAAGCCCTCCAGGCCCTCTCTGCCCAGTCTGCCCTCCCAGCAAACCAGTTACCATTGAGCCCACACAGACTTAAGGAGACCCCGTGCCTGTCCTTGTAGAACTCTGCTCCATGGGCTCTCTCCTGGCTGTGATCTTTCAGAAGTAGATCTCCAGACCACTCTTCTGAGGTCCCTCTGAGTGAAATCAAACCTCCAGCTTTCCAGTTAGCCCCCAAGCACATTGATCGTGCGTGTTACCCAGGGACTCTGCCAGTTCAGTAGCCCCTGTTCAGCGTGGCCCTGCCCTGTGCCTGCCCTTCCTGCTATGGGTGTGCCAGGAAACTTAGGAAAGAGGAGGAAGGAAGACTTTGGGGCCCCGAGCTGCAGCAGCCCCTCAGGGCACATCTACTGGGCTGAGAAGCGGGCTTTTCACAGCTCCTGTGTTTGCTGCTCAAGCGAGGGGCAAGGCCAGCAGTCCAAAGTACCCTGGCCCTGGGTTTCTGGAGTGACCTCGTAGAGGGCCGGGCCCCAGACGCAACTCCACCTGAGTTTTCTCTGTGGCTTATGAGAAAGAATTCAAGCAGACTTGGGTTCCGTGCCTGGCTCAGCTGTGGGTCAGCATTCATTCTGTCAAAGGGGCCCAACAATACCTGTGCCAGTCATCCCTTCAAAAGTGCCAAGCACGATGTCCCTTTCTAGGGACTGGTCTCCTGATGGCTTTGTCGTACTGTCATGGTTCTCCTGGTGCGCTAATGCTGGAAGCTCGGCCACCGGTATTTCAAACACCAGCAGGGTCACTGTGACAGGCAGGCTGCCCAGAGCCTCCAGATTAAGACAGGTGGGAGAAAGGCCTGGAGATTTGTTGCCAAACATCAGCCCGCGGAAACCCGATGGATCACGACAGAGCAGTGTCGTGAAGCTGCTAGAAGCAGGGGCCGGGCTAGGCGACATTGGGGTCTCGAGTCAGAGCCAACTTGCCAGCTTCAACAGAGCCCCTGCCAGGACTGGCACATAGTAAGGGAGCAGGCCAGCGTCTGCTGTGTGCCAGCCTGAGCTGCACCTGGTTCCCCACACCTTCTCTCTCAGAGGGGCTACGGGATCCCCGTTGACATGTGACCAGCCCCCGGGCCTCCCCAGGCCAGGCTGCACCTCCCAGTCCTCCACGGCCGGGCCTCTGCTGACACACTCCTCTCTGTCTCCCTCACAGGTCCAGAACGTCCAGGGGGCTTTCAACGCTCTTGGGGGAGCCGACAGACTCAACTCCAACCGTAAGTTCCCCTGCCCTGAGTCCCAGTAGAGCAGCAGGGAGCCCAGTAGACAGGGCCTGAGGGGGCAAGACCAAGCACTCGTGCCCATGTTGCCTCAGTTCCTCCGGCGGCCTGCCTGGGAGGCATTGGCCTTGCCCCCGTCTAAGATCAGGATAGAAAAGTGACTTGCGTCCAGGGGAAGGAGGCCAAAGCCCCTCACAGACCATCAGGACTCAGTCCAAACCAGCTATTATCTTCCTAGTGGTTATCATGACCACCACCTAGTCATGGTTAATTGAGATTGTCACCTGAGGGCTCTCAGGAGTGATGGCAGAGCCCATGCGAACAGGTGTGTAGGTGGCTTGACCAGGGCTCACCCTCATTCAGGTCTGACCACCTCGAGCACCCCGCCCTCTTCCCCACCCTGCATCCCTCTCTCCCATGAGCGGCTGCGCTGAGGCCTCTCCCACCTCAATGCCCGTGCACCTCGGGCAGAGTGTACCTGCACACAGATATACCTACACCTGTGCACACACGCCTGTGTGTGTATACACACCTGACGTCTTAGACCCTGGCACATCCATTCCTGGCGTGCCCTCAAAGAAACTGCGCCTTTCACTTCTTTGTCCTGTCGGGCGCTTGCCGAGAAGAGAGGTGGCTCTTCAAAGCATTTGTAGCCGTTCTGTCCCGGCTGGCATACCTGACACCATTTCCCAACCACTGTCTCCAGACTTTCTCATTGCCGTTCAGCAGCCCGCTCGAAGCCCGGCCCAGCTTTCGTAATGGCATTTTCTTCTTCTTTACATTTCCCCACCCCGGGACTGCCCTCCGATGCTGATGGCCTGGGTCCACACCCACTCCGACTGCAGCAGTCAGACCAGCTGTCCACTGCAACTCCTGGCGCCCCCAAGTGTGTCTGAGTAGAACTGGGCTCCTTAGGGTGGTAGCCTATCACCTATTGGCACCACTGGCAGCAACACCTGGAGTTGAAGTAAAACCACCTTTCTGATGCTACGCCCCTCCTCCCTGGTGCCCTAGGAGTGGCTGGTCATCCTTGTCTTTCTGTGTCTGGCCTGGTGCTGCCGCACCTACACTTGCAATTGGCCTGGGCCCTCGGTGACCTGAGAGTTGGAGGAGGAGGCTGGAAGAGCCCGGCATGCGAGAGCAGACCGAGGGTCTAGGCTAAACCTCGGCCTCCTCGGGGCTGGGGCCAAAGCCCACAGCAGGCTGACTTAGGGGAAAGAGTAATGTGCACGGTGAGGCCACAGCGAGCCCGGGGGAGGGCTGGTGTCATGCCCACCGCACCCCAGCTCAGTAGCCCCTTGGACCTTGGTCTTTGTGGTTCTCTTGGCTCTCAGATCTTCACATGCTGGCTGCCGCTTGTCACTCAGATCTCAGCTCATATATCACCACCTCAGGGAAGCCCTTGCAGAAGTAACCCCACTCCTGCTTACAGACCTGGTTTCCTCCCCACCACGCCCCTCTGCCCACTGCACCACCCTTTCCACTGTCACTTTCCCGGCACATAAGCACAGCCAGCTCTGTGTCATGAGGGCCTACTGATAGAAGGCCCCCTAGAGGAGCCCCATCAGACGGTGGGTGCACTGAGATGCTGAGGATCGGCCTCTGGGGACCCCACATTCCAGGCCCAGCCCTGGGCGCCTAGGGAAGCCTCCCCCCAGTCTCTGCCACCGTAAGGGGCAGCGAAGCCTGACAGCCTTCCTATGCGGCTTAACAAGAGCAGGTGAGGCTTGAGGGCACAACCTGGGCACAGGGAGCGCTCGCCACGCCAGGGGGCTCCACAAACTTCCTGGGAACATGGAATGAAGAGATAACGGAAATTTCCATGAGCTTTTCTGGACGCGATTCTTGCACGTTAGTCATTCTCTTTGCTGTCATCTTGAGCGACGTCAGGACAGACGCTAAGGTGAACCCTTCCAACCTGGACTGTG